ATTCTCATAAGCATTTTCAATGTTTTTTATACATTGTTTCTTTTTAGGTAAAACAGTTATCATTAATTGGCGGTAAAAATCTAGCTAATACAATTTAAAATATTTTGCTCCTGTAAGTAATTAGCAAAAGTTTGAATTTTAACATTTATGATTGACAGTACAGCATTTATTTTCTTTTTTATATATGTAGACTGCTAACAGACACTATTTTGTCAGAATACAGCATGAATTCTCCAAAGAAGAAAAAAAAGTTTAAAGAGTTGACAAGTCTATGTAATGCTGTCACTGGTATTCTTATTAGCTTAATAATGTGTTTAATTAATAAAAAATTAAAAATGTTTTAATTAAAAAAAAAAGTTCTTTTAAATTTTTTTGGCTATGGAACATGACATGTATTCAACTGTATGTATACATGACATGTATATTTTATTTTATGATCTTGTTGAAACATGTTTTGTTGTTTTTATTAGAAGCTGCTTTAAAGTCAAATAAAAACTTAACCAAAACGGATGCCATCCAACTTATTGGGAGAGTAATTAGGCAATCTTCTGACCGAATAAAGAGAACATCGACTAATATGGATTTTGATCAGAAATGGCTTAATTAACAGTTGTATTTTTTTTTTCTTTCCATTTTTAAGCAATTTTCTTCTATTTATAATGCACTATCGATTATATTCTACAGTACCTATTATTTTTTAATTTGAAAAATGTAACTTTGTTTGGAAAATTATTCTTATTTTTTGTAAAGTTATTAATTTATTTTAAATGTATCGAACTAAACTTAATTTACATTGATTTCTTTTTATAACTTTCTTTCCTAAATTAAGGCAAATCTAAGGTGTGTGTTGTAAATCATTGCATTATTATATAACTTTTAAAAGAATGTCTGGGTAAAATTCAAACGTCTCTAGGACGTCTAAAAGAGACGTCCTTAAGTCTTTCATATGAGACAAACCAGAGACGTCTCTAGAACGTGTGCAAAAAACGTTTCTTAGACGTCTTAAGAAGACGTCTTAAGGACGTCTGGAATAGACGTCCTCAAGGCTTTCATTTGAGACTAACTAAGGATGTCTTACGGACGAGACTTAAGACGTCTTACGGACGTCCTTAGGACGTCAAAATGCCCGCTGGGTATGAATCAGAAAATGCTCGAATTGACACAACACAAAATGCTTGAATTTATATAGAGTTAAAATTAACATTTAAAACCACATTATAACACATTAACAAATATTCATCAAATAAACTGCAAACCACGCAATCATCCCCAGATGTTCTTGAGCTTTTTCCTTATAGAATTAACAATAATAATTAGTAAAACTATTGAATCTAAAAAAGCTGTTTTATGACTGACTTGTCTTCCGTGTGAATAAATAAAAGATGGCATATAACAAAGACGATTTTTTATACTTGTTTTATTTTTGAAAACTTACTAGGAACTTACTAAGTAATTCGTTTAATCCTGATAAGTACTTAGTAGGAATTTACTAGGATTAGCAGGAAATTCATAAACGTCATTTCACTAATGGGAAACTTAATAGGTTTAGCCGTATTAAGCAAAAACTTACCTGGATTAGCCGTATTAGCAGGAACTTAGCAGGATTAGCAGGAAGTTAGACATATTCCTAGTAGTATTAGCGGGTTTTTTTTTTTCTCGGGTTGTTGTTAATGCAAAGCTATTTGGCAATGTGATTCGAAAGTTTATCATATGCGGGCCTGTCAATGTTCTGATTTTGGAAATCATTCCACCAATGGAATTGCATCTCCTCTTAGGAGTTGTCAACCATCTTATCAAGATCCTTAAAACTGCTTGGATAAAAGCTGTTAAGTGGCCAGCCGCCCTCCTCATTTAACTGAGCCCGTATCATGGGAGCCAAAATGCAGGAAGCTTCTTAAAAATGTGGATATGTTGCAGCAACTTGCTGAGACAAACGTGGTTCCCAATATTATGCGCATAATTGAAGCATTCAAAAGCTTCAATTTGATTATAAAGACTTGCTTTGGACACATCCTTCAGCCGGATTTCGCTAAAAAAAATTTGAAAATTTTAAAAAGTGTTACCTAATGAGAACTGTTGTAAACGTAATACCCAAAATTCAAGCCGTCTTTTACCACATCAAAGATTTCATCAGTCACAAAGGATCCCCCTTGGGTCCAATAGTGAACAAATTGTCGAAACTTCTCATCAAGATTCTTATCAATATTGGTCGTGGTATGAGCGAAATAATAATTATCCAGAGTACAAAGATAAATTGTTGTGCTGCATAACTGATCTTAACAATAAGCATCTTTAAAAAAAATTATTTGAGTTATTAGAAATTAGGCTGCTGAAATTTATATTTTACGGCGTATAGTGTATACTTTCACCATCTTTAAAGATAGTAGTATAGAGTATTTGTATTAAAAGAGTATATTGAGCTATTTATTAATAATCTTTTGGTGAAGGAAATCAAAAAAATATTTCTTAAAATGAAATTATTTATTTGAAAGTAATACAATGTAAAAAATAGTGTTTAAATAGTTTTTACTTCATTTTAAAAGTAAATTTATTTAAGGAGGTCAATACAAAATATTTTAGGAGATCTACTTTTTTGTTTTGTTTTACTAACTGGTAGTCCTTTGACCAGGTTTTGCCCTTTTTTTTAGCTTTTTGTTTTTGGCAGCAGTTTATACGTTAAGAAATGTTGGTATATTCAAGCGAATCATTCAACGCCGGGGTGGCTAGAGGGTCATATCCTTCTCTACTTTTTTTTTCTGCAAGAACCTTTTGTTTTAGAAATATAGGCAATTATTTTAGAAGTTATGGATTTTATTTTAGAAATTGAGGGGTTGACCCCTCTACTTTGAAGGCCGTGTCGACACTATTAGCATAAGACTATTTAAACCACACTTTAAGTAGAAAAACACTATTTTGGTCCATAAAATGAAAGCTGAACATGTAACGATAAAATAATTATAACAAAAATTGTTGGTATTTCATAGTAGAACACTCATGTAAACGTTATTTTAAAAATAGTGACAGAAATTCTATGTAATCGGTAACGCTTTGAGGTAGAAGTAGCAAAAAACTATTAAAACTTTAGCTAAAACTGCAATAAATCCTACACCAGTCATTCAATCAGACAGAAACTTTGTTCAGAGTTTGGTATGACTATTGGCTATATTTGCACCAATTTTTATCAAATTTTATTGTGTAGTTCCAATTCTACAAGTGTTTTTATTGGCGCACTATGAAGTCAAAATTTGACTTTTAAAATAATTTAATTTGAACATTCAAATTAAATTATTTTCCGCGGACAAAAATAAATGATTTCAAAATTTGCATCACAGTGTAACTTGATGTGTACGCTAACTTTCCGTATAAGTTGCGTTCTTGGGACAGCTAGGTAGGTATTATAAGGATCCGTGCTAACCGTGAGTAATAGTTGAACGCAACAGAAACCAAGTATAGAACATAAAAAAGAACTCAACAAAAACCAAGCATAACTTTTTTCTGAGTTGTGCTGTTGGGTGTTTTAATCAAAAAAGTTTTTTTTTTTTAAAGAATTATTATCATGTGAAGCTTTTCATTGAATTGTTTAAACCTATGTAAAAGGAATTACCACCACATTTTTGCTGCAGAGAAACGTTTTTTGGTGCGTTTAGTAAGGTTTTTGAATCTCTAGGCTATTATGTATGACTGTGATTTCTTAATATTAGCAGGATATAATTTTTTGCTAATCTCGCAAGGTGATGTTTAAATGCCCGAGCTGAAGGTTCAGTGGCCAGGTTATCTTTATTGTGCATATCATTGTCTTTTGTGCTATAAGTGCTATTTATATCACTAGAAATATAAGATGAGGTTAAAACCTCGGTATTTAAATTGCGTATTTCTTTAATTATTTCTTTTTCTTTATCAGGCGGTGGATCCAATAAAACAGTCCCTGATAGTTACAAAAAACCCATGAATATTATATAATATAAACCAGACAGTTATCCAATATATATACAAGGCAGTTATCCAATATATAAAGTTAGAATAAAGTTCCTGAGAGTTAGAATAAAGTTCCTGAGAGTTAAATAAAGAGTTAAATGAATTAGTCTTATTTAATAAAATAGTTTAAGACTAATTCATAAATAGTTTAATAACCTAAATACATCAAAACTTTATAATCATTATTGTTAAAACTAAATTGCAAATACATCATTTTTGTTAAAGTAAATTGCAACTTTTTTATTATCGTCTATTGAGTACTTAAATCTACTCAACGGTTTACTTTACATAATTTGAACACTAAGAAATAACTACTATGTGAGTTTCAATAATGTATTAAATAGTAAGATGAGTTGTAAGTTAGTAAGGTTAATATGCAACTAGAATAAGAGAGCATGGCTTAAGACGCAATGCACAGCGGGAAATAGTTATAGTCAATAGAG